CTTTTGCAAAGTTCACACTGTGAAGCCGTGCTCTTTTCTTTCTTAAAGATACGGTCCGAGAGAGGAAGGTATACCTTGCTGCGGATGAAGGGGCGTGTCAAGCAGTATGAATGTGCCACGGCGCCAAACCTGTTCGCTGCCACTTTTTGAATTGAAGTTTATGCGGCAGCAGTTGATAGAAAACGAGTGATACGAACGATATGATACAGTCTTGGCACTTGCTCGCTTCAACAACTGGTGAGAACGGGTTTGGCACCGCGCCAAACTCATCCCGCCTAACACATCCCTTCGTCCGCAGCGAAGTAGACTATAGTGGTACTGAAATATGCGAGAGAGGTTGGAAGGAACTCATCTGTGAAGAGGAAATGCCAAGGGGAACGTCGACAACGCCTATAATAGGGCCCCTCAACCCTGAACAGTTGCATTTGTGAAAGGCCATGTTGCGACGAGTCAGTCGGCTGATTCCTTGTAATAAACCCTACGACCCCGTTCGAGACAGTAGAGCATCCATTCCAAGCTAGTTGTCCAGTAGTATCGCTTTTGGTCACTGGAAGAAGGAGGTACCACTGGAAGCTTAAAGGCAGTTGGCACGATGGTTTCCTACTTAGCCTAAAATGCTAGTAGGGCGCTGTATAGTGGGGAAATGGCGAAAGAACGGAGTGAAACGGTCAAAATCCTGCGAAGAAAAAGCCTCCGTTCTCAGTGACTTGTAAATCGATTTCGGACGAGTTTCCCGTAGGCATCTTACCAATCACCGCTACCGAAGATACGGCTGCATATGTACCCATGTATGCATGCAGCATCACGGCCGCTTCATACCAATCCCTTCGCTTCATAATTTGCTTAGCAATGAATCGATTAGAGCGTCAGGAACGGTCGTCCATTTGTGGGCGGGCGGGCGTGGCGGGCGTTTGGGACGGTAAGTTGTGGCTTGATAGGGCCCTTATAAGAGCACCTTCCTCGGGAAAAGCCGCTATCAGCGCCTGCCCAGTGGTCGCGAATTCTATCCTGGCGACGCGAATACTTGGATCCTAGTCGTCTTGTGGGATTTATCGTGCCAACTGCCTTTAATTCCTTTACCTTAAAACTTCGCGCTGCAGAACTAGGTTGTCCATTGCAGATCACACTACTCCTTTTGTTTTTTCATAGGTCATCGCAGACCCGCTCCTTTAGATCCTTAAGTGTTAGAAATCGTTCCGTCAAGCTCATTGAAAACGGCTCTCTGATCTTTCAGAGGGAACACCATCGTCATCTACTCAAAAGGATCAACGTACAGAAAACGAGCAGTCAGTTCAGTCACGCAAATTGATCGCATCGCTGTACTTGAGGATCATCGCCATCAGGGATAAGGTGGGTTAGAATTGCTTGATATAAGAGAATATTCAGGCGCAGTTTGACTTGGAGAGGGCATTCCGCTTTTCCACCGATTACTGCCAATGCATTCCATGTAAATTCCTGTAAGCGACTATGCACATAGGCAGGAAGCCTTCACCTACACTTGACATACATAGTCTACAAGCCCTCATCGTGGTGAAACCTTCATTCAGAAGGAATTGGCAAACAAAACTAGCGAATGCGAAAAGTACCCCTGCCAAGCCCAACTGTGCCGAATATTTGATCGCCTCTTCGTTGACAAATGTTATGGAGCAGATGTGCCCACCTCCACCAGCACCTGGCAAGCGCTAGAGTAAGCCTGATCGATGAATGTAACTCTCACTTCAATTCCGTGGCAGCCTGTAGATCTGGAAGTGCTTCCGGAGAAGAAGTGTCGGATTAATGGCTTCAAAACCACCGACGGTGCTTCTTTTGATTTTTGAATTGAAACTGTGAAAAGCGATTTTCAAAAAAGAAAGTGGAGACCATCGACCAGCGAGCGATGTCAACCAATTCAGGCCAAAGTAAGAGCAGAATGATGGGAGCCGGCCTTACAAGCTCATTCTGATGCCGACGCCTAGACTTTCTGCTCAAACTATCGCGATTTTCCGTATTCAGAAGTCAAAAACTACCGAAGTAGTTGGAAAAATCTATACTTAGGGGAATTTCTAATCGAGTGGCGAGAATTTCGACAGGTGGAGCAAGTGGCGCCCTCAACGAATGAATCAAGCTTCATAAGAATCCCTTTCTCCCATGTGGAAATGCTGAATCAGTGAAAATCGGTCAAAAGTTCCCACTAATCTTTACTGGATCGAATTTAAAGACACATTTCGCGAAGTGTTGCTATCTCCAATTTCGCGCATCGAGTCTTTAAAGAGCAAAAAGAATGCCTGTACATTCAGTGAGCGATTTCTCTACTGAACACGAAACAATGCAAGCTGAAGTGCAGGTGGTCAAAGATGATGGTGGAATCGTTGTCGAAGTCCAGGAGGGAACTCCTATCTGCTGGGTGAGCAACTCCTTACCTAGATGTTTCATCAAAATGGACTAAATCAATAAGCCTTTTCAGGATGACATCGGCCTTCCACTTGAATGCATGCTCGACGGTGAAACCTGGACTCAAGTCGGTTTCTTGGAGTCGGTCACAAAAGTGGTAGGATTTCCCTTGAAGACTGATACTACTGCTATCATCATTATGGAAGTGAATATTTGAGGTGGAAGACAACGAAGAAATAGATGAAGAAGAAGAGGAAGAAACCGAGGAGACTCCTAAGCACTCATGTGACAACATTTCCGTAAGCATAATAGATTTCTACCAAGCAAGCACATTTTACTAGGAGCCGCACTTTTTTCTCGACTTCTCAATTGGGGGAAGCTGGGGAGGGATGCTTGTATGCCTTATCCTCGACTTACGTCCAAGCAGGCTACCCCAATATTCAGGTTGCTCGAGATGAAATTCTGCCCTTATTTTATTATCTTATAGAACTGGTTCTCAAGAACTTACTTCAACAACCGTAGATATATGGATGTAGATATAGCCGGTGTGGATTAAAGTCCCATCGTACCTGGAACTCTGAATGAAGGGGCAGGTCGTATTTAACTGGCTAGTGGGTCATATTTGAATTGCTGAGAAGAGCAGCACTCACACGAATGGGCCTCGGAGTTTTGAAAGAATTATAAGTCACGCGGCCCCTGACCCCACTGTGACACCCGACGGAACTAGGAGACAAGTAAGGCAGTTATAAGGGGGGAGCGGAAGATGAGCCTAATAAGCCCTGTGGGCATAAGCAAAAGAGGCGGCACTTGTGTTCACCTGGATATATCAGCTGATCCCCTCAAAACGTTTTTTAGGCTGCGTTCATACTTTGTGGCAGCATCCGCCAGTCTACCAGCGTCCACCAGCGACCACTAGCGTTCCGAGCGTCCGGCAGCGTCAGCGACTAGGAAAGTATAGATATCGATCTAGCGTCTGCCAGCGTCTACCAGCGTCCACCAGCGACCGGGAGTAGAGAGTATGGGAAGTAGGAGGGTAGCAAACAGCTGGATTAGGCGTCGTGAAATTGCGGCGTGTGCAACCGCACCGTACAACTACACTACACCGTACATTGAATTGCTATAATTCTGTGCTTTAGCAGTTACGCTATGCGGTTGCATGCGCGGTGGTCGCTAGTGAACGCTGATGAACGCTGCTAGACGCTGGCAGACGCTGGATAGATACCTGTACTGCCTCAGCCTTCGAGACGCTGGCAGACTCTAGATCGATACCTAGTTTCCTAGTCCCTGACGCTGCCGGATGCTCGGAATGCTATTGGTCGTCGGTGGACGCCGGTGGACGCCGGTGGACGCTGGTGGACGCTGCCACAAAGTATGAACGCAGCCCCATCCAGTTAGTCGCTAAACACGGCTCCACATCTCTGAATGCAAGTCAAGAGCACCGCAAACTCCAAGTCCGATCGCCTACCGCTTTACATTTTCAGCCTGCACTATGTACACGAGTATTGAAATTTTTTCCAGAATTTGAGATTCCTCATGTTCGACAGCAATGAACTTGCTAAGATGCTTGACGAGCATGCGATCGACGTACTGTTAGCAGCGAAGAAATGCTTTTCCCGAGATGCTCCTCGGTCCAGCATGACTCAGTGAGGATTTGTAAACTCTTTTCAGCATTACTTCAATGTACTGGTTGTGATGAGATTACTAAATAAATAAAATGCGGACGAAATCGAGTTATTGGGGATGTTCAATGCACCGGACACGATTGCTGTAGGCGGAAGTTTGTTGCCAGTCTCAATCGTGGAAGGCTGAAAGAAGGCGTTTGGCCGCACCCCACTGAGCCATTCCGCCAATGACGTTGGCGACAACCTCCCGCCCCAGCAGTCATACCCACTGACTTCAAGGTTAAGCAAAGAAGTAACTTTAAACGATTGGCTCTTTTGCCGCAATAGTAGAATCCACAGTACCATTTGTTACTATGTAATCGAAGTTCTTAAAATCGCTCACACCCCACATGCTTGGTTACAGGTAAACTTCATTTTAAAATAGATACTACGATCTTAAGATCTTCCACAATCTCCTGACACCTGCCAACCCGACGGAAATAGGAGACGAGGTAATGGAGAAGTCTAGTGGTGGTAGGCCTGATAGAAACGATTCCCGTGGGATCTGTACATCTACCTAAAGTTCTTCTCCCGATTGTCCTGAAGCCAGGTAAAATAGGGTAATACGAGGGGATGCTAATTGAGGTCAACTATCTTAAATTCCTCGCCCGATTTCCTGAATCAGGTAAACTAGAGTAATACGAGGAGGTGCTAGTTGTAATTGAGCCCGTCTATCTGAAGTTCCTCTTCCGATTCCCTGAATCAAGTGAAGTAAAGTAATAGAAGCAGGTGCTGAA